CACTGTAGGAATAAACCTATCTCAGAGCCACTAAATTTGAGGATCCTTCCTCCTTCATTTTTTTCTGAGTATTTGTGTGTCACATACCAATACTTCTTTACACAAATGTTACCTTCTCAAGTAGGTAGTTGCAACTCAACCAATATAAATCTATAAACCTTCCATGACTTCTTTTATAGGCTGTCTGTGTTTTATTTTTTCTCTTATTATCTATCAGTCTTTAACAGATATTTTATTTTTACATTATTGTACATTCTTTGTCTCCCAAACTAGGATGTGCCCTCCATGTGACTTCAGTAGGTTGCTATTTCCCCAGTTCTAACAACAGACACCCCAGCAAATCATAATTTTGCAATAAATATTGTGAATAAATAATTTCTATTGTTGCTATTCCCACTTGCAAAATGGGAGTCAGATTTATTCCGTGGCATCCAGGTCATTTTTACTTCCTGCTCACATTTACTACACTTCCTCCTCCTCCTCCTCCTCCCTCCTTTTTCTTCTCCTTCTTCTCCTCCTCCCCCTTTCTCCTCATCTTTCCCCTTCCTCCCCCCTTCCCCCTCCTCCCCCTTCCTCCTCCTCCTCCTTCTTCTTCTGCTTCTTCTGCTCCTTCTTCTGCTTCTTTTCTCCTCTTCCCCTTCTTTCTTCCTCTTCCTCTTCATTATAATTAGCCTAGTTTACTTGTTTCTTCTTTGAAATAGCTGTGTGGCATAGAAAAGAGTGTTTAGATTAGATTGTATTGACTACCTATCAGTATCTGTTTGTCATAATACTATTTTCTTTTCTCCCTGTAGTTGGGTGGTCAGGTTAAATGCAATCATAAATAAAAGGTGCACCCACTGTACTTAATTTATATTTGAAAGAAAATTATATCTAATTGTTTGCTTCCTTTTTTCCACAGGATAAGAAATTTCAAGGAATACTAATTTGGTAACAATTCACCATGCAATCAAGTAGGGTGAGGCAGTAAAGATGTTCTGAGAAGAATGAAGTTTCTCTAGTACTTTCAATGAAGTATGAGATCAATGTGCCAATTTGCTGTTCTTCACTCCCTTCAGTTCTTAACCATCTTCTTCCTTGCTGGTTCTTATCTAAAATAAATCATGTGGTGGTTGACTGGGCATTTTTTTAAAGCTGGATGTCTTTGTAAAGATTCCTCCCAATGAAGTTTTCCAATTCTCTTCTTCAAAGAGAATGTCTGGGTTTTGTTGAGTGTAGCTATTTCCTAATCACCACATGACATCAGAATTTCCTGTCTCCCTAGATAACTCGTAGGCAGTTAATTATAGCCTGGGTAGTGTGAAGCAGATGTTTTCAGAACATCTTTGAAATGGAGCTTTGGGAGCCCTTTCAGTTAGGGATGGCACTATGCTGGGGGCTTTCTCTAACCTGAAGCCTATTTTTCACTTGTACCAGTTTGAGGGATGGGTGTTATTTGGGGCTATTTGTATGAACATGTAGTACATGTGTGCCTGTGTATATGTTTGTGTGTGTGTGTGTGTGTGTGTGTGTGTGTGTGTGTGTGTGTGTGTGTACTGGTGTGGCAGCTGGGCCTGTCCTCAGATACCAAGAAGTTCAGTAATTCAAAAGGAGAAAACCAAAATATCTTTGGTAGTCTTTCTCATCCTACATTCCAACTGTAATTCTTATTGTTAGAACCTGGGAACTGCCATTTGTCTGTGTTTGTTGTAAAGGTCACTAGTAATAGTGTTTTTTCTAATTCTATAAAGAAGGACAAAGGGAGAAAATCAAAATATGTATGGTAGTCTTTCTCATCTTACTTTCCACCTGTAATTCTTATGGGTAGAACCCAGGAACTGCCATTTGTCTAAGTGTTATAAAAGTCACTAATAGTGCCTTTTCTAGCTCTGTAAAGGACAATGGGATAATTAAATTACTAGTGTTTAAACTATACAGGTAGAGTTTTTTGTTTTGTTTTTGTTTTATTTATTTCCAGTCCTGGGGCTTGATCTCAGGGCCTGGGCACTGTAACCGATCTTCTTTGTGCTCAAGGCTAGTGCTCTACCACTAGAGCCATAGTGCTACTTCCAGCTTTTTTCTGAGTGGTTTATTAGAGATAAGAGTCTCCTGGACTTTTCTGCTTGGGTTGTCTTTGAACTGTGATTCTCAGACCTCAGTTTCCTGAATAGCTAGGATTACAGCAGTGCCCTTCTGCTTTATCTACTTAAAGTAACCTGTATGGGTCATCCTTTTCAACTGTTTACAGTTTAAAGTCAAGTGAATGATACAGAAATAACATGCTATCCATAGCTGTTTTACATTCATAACCTATTAAAACAATTGAAGGTTATAAAATAATAAATTAATAAGAAGTAATCAAAAAGATACAAGAATCTCAGGTGTGTGTGTGTGTGCGCGCGTGCTGGGTGGGGGGGCGGGTTACCTGGGTAGTGAGTACTGACAGTAAGCTTTGCTAATCGTTTTTTGCATCTTTATTTAAGACTGGAATCTATTCTCACTTCATCTTCCCACATTCCCTTGTCCCCAAGGGAAAAAGAGTGGAATATTGGCATCATTCATAAGAACCCACATTGAGATGAGACAAAGAATGGTGCAGTTTGAATTTTGCAGTTACAAAGGAGGGTGGTGGTTGTTGTTGTTGTTTATTTGTCCCTTAGGGGATAGCTACTAGAACCACTAGTGGTTTCTAGACTCACTCAGTACCTTTGATGAGTCTAAAGCCATCTGTTGAAAAGATGTGGAGGCCTTATTTAAGAACTAGAGTTTGAACTGCAGATGATGGGAGTGTCCCTCTTGGATTCAGCTTGATAGGAAGAACTTTGAAAAGAGATTGAGTTTAGCAGCTGCCTTCCACCCAATTGGAAGAGGAGCAGATGCAATTTCCAGAGGCTGTCTCCTCTTCAAATGTGTCCTGGGAGCTTCTGTTTTGTGCTGAACACAATTATGGCCCCTGTCAACCTTGTATTAAGAACCTCATCCTGCAAGGTCGCTTCCTGTTGTTAGCCCTGATTTTGCATCTCACATTTGTTTTGGAGGAGATCTCACATGAACAGTAGACATTTTTCAAGAAGCAAAGGAGAGAATACTTCCATCCATGTGGTTCTCCTTCTGTCCTTCGTGAGGCAGAGAAAAGGACAATAGTATTGCACGGCTATGGAATACCACTTCTTAATATACCTTCCATTTTATCCATACAGCACCATTTTTGAAGTCTTTGTTAGGCATCAGAAAATGAATAGTCTTGCTCAATATCTACTTACCTTCACTAGTGACTATATGGCTATGGAGCTCATACAGTCATTACTTAGGAACTTAGTTTTAATGTTCAAGAACTCATCTTCTGTTCTTGATGCCACATGACCCACCATCCATAAAATGTGAGTAATGAAATAATCCACTTTGGAAGTTGTAAACAGTAATAAATCCTTCCCCTCATTCTAAAGTGATATAAATATATGAAAAATTATAGCAGAGTTCTTGGTGGAAAAAATATATTGTGCCTGCTAAGAAGACGGGTGTTTCTCTCTCTCTCTCTCTCTCTCTCTGTCCCCCCCTCTCTCCATCTCTCTCTCTTTTTCCCTCTCTCTCCTCTCTTATCCACACATTGCTCTCAATATATTCTTTTTTTTTCTCAATATATTCTAATGCTGCCCTCCTATAGATAAAACTCATGTCTCAAATATTCTATTAATACTGTTTGTATTTATAAATAACAAATATATTCTTCTATGAAAAATGATTGGTTTCAGAGCCTGTGGAATAGCTGCTATTGTTCTGGTTATTACAAGATGAGTCAGATAAACAAGTTTAACATCTTTGTTAATGTATGCTGGCTCATTATACATTTTTGTTTTAAAATGATAAGTTTATAGTCTTGAATAATAGAGCTTGCACATCTGGTTTCCTATGATTTGAATTCGGCATTTTGGTGTACTGGTAAAATAAGCTTGAGATGTGGGGGTCTCTAGGCAAGTCAAATCCTAAGACAAGCAGAGCATGATAAAAATTTAAAACATTTGGGCAATGTATTCCTGAGAACAAATGACAGTACCATAAATATTTAGCACATAGACTAAATTTGCTATGATCAATATACTAATTTAGAGTCAGGAGAAAGCTTCTTTTCTCGTGATCTTTTAGACTTAATGTGTTATAGAATCTTCACAGTAACATACTTTTCTATCCTTCACATTCCCTGCTCCATCACTGGGAACACTAGAGTATTCTTCCTTTCCTTTACAAAAACCATGTGTATAAATGATAGTAAATGTGTGTGTGCTGGTCCTAGGGCTTGAACTCAAAGCCTAGAAGCTGTCCTGAAGGTTTTTTGTTTGTTTGTTTGTTTTTTGGTTTGAGGCGAGCACTCTACCACTAATTCTAGTTCTGGCCTTTTTGCTAGCTAATAGAAGATAAGAGTCTCATGACTTTCATGCTCTGGCTGGCTTTGACCACTGTTCTCAGATATCAACTTCCTAAGTAGCTAGGATTACAAGCATGGGCCACTAGTGCCTGGTTGTGTCCTTAACTTTTAAAAATGTAGATGTATTAAAAGTACTGGAATGTGTGTGTGTGTGTGTGTGTGTGTGTGTGTGTGTGTTTTGCTTTATTAGAGAAATGCACATCTAAATTGCTTTTCGGGTTTTTTTCCCAAAAAAATTATTGAAGAAAACAATATAACTTCCTTTGGAATAAGGACAACAAAATGTGGTTGATGATTGCCCCCAAGTGGTATTTATTACTTTTTATCTACCTTCTTTCAAGAAAGAATAAATCATCTGTGTATATCTTAAATTAGATTTTCTGCAAGAAAGGAGAACTGAGTTCCTGTTCTTGATACATATAAAGTTCAAACTCTGCTCTCGGACTAAGATGAAGGACCAATCTTACATCTACACTATTATCTATTCTTCATGCAATAAGAATAAAATGAAATCTACTGTGGATTAAAGGCTCATGTACTGAAGACACATTATTTCCCATGTGGAACATTAATTAATAACTTGTATTTCTTTCTCCAGAGACTGGATCTCCAATTACAGCATCATGTATTGGATTAGGTAACTCTAAAACACCTCCACCGGGGCAAGCAGGGCAATGTGTCCCAGGATACAATGGTAAGAATGACCCTGGCAATGTAAAATGTGTGATATTAATGAATTTGTTGTTTTCCTGAACCCAGTGTTTACTATATGTCACCTAATAGGTGGGTAATAGGTATTTGATTGTATGAGTATTTTGAATTAAATATTAATGTCTTGGCTTAGGGTTATGACTCATCCCTGTAATCTCAGGTAGCTGGAAAACAGAAAGGAAGATAACGATTCCAGGCTACATTCAGCAAAAAAATATAGTGAGACTTTATCTCAAAAACTAAGCAGATTGGGAATGGTGGCATAGACCTTTAATCCCAGCTATACAGGATTTATAGGTAGGACTGAGGCTAGCCTGAGCAAAAAGCATGAGACAGTACCGAAAACAAACAAGCCAAAGGGGCTGGAGGTGTTCTTCAAAATAGGAAATTTGCTTGCCTAACAAGCATTAGGCCTTGAGTTTTAAGCCCTTGTATTCACACACACACACACAGAGTTTTAAACCCCTGTATTTACACACTCACACACACACACACACACACACACACACACACACACACACACCACAAAATATATACATACTGGGGAGGGAGTATCAGAAAAAAGAAGACAGGGAAGAGGAGAGAATGCCTTACATTTTGCTGTCTAAAACAATATCGTATGACTTAAGAAACATGCTCTAAATGACTAAAATAAGCAGGAACATTTCAATTTATACATTATTCAATATATACATTATTATATATACAAGACCAACTAGATGTCCAGCATTTATATCTATTATTTGAGTTTTATGCTGAGGTATGTTTGCTTCATAGATATTATAACCACTTGGAGGTCAGAAGTAAGTGGATGCCTAGAAAATATAACACTTTAGCTAGGTCACAGGGCTGGATTAATCCTCAGGAAGATGCACATTCTTTTGTATTATTGGGTAGTTCCTTTGTTCTCATTTTAAAAGCTGTCATTTTGCTCACAACACCCACTGACATTTAATTTGAGAATGATAACAAGGCTTTTGACACTTTTTGGCTAAAAATGAAGCCAAAGGGTAAGATTTCTAACAATATATATGTACATATATATATATGTGACAGAGAGATGTCCTCTTAATATTTTAGTTAGGTTTATTGTAATGACCATAATAATCAAATAATTTCCCTTGGACTATGCTTCCTAATTGGCTGGCTGGTCCAGATCATCTAACCTTTTAGATGTTCTTTTTTTTTTCAAGTTTCTAAATAGAGACTGTAATGTCATACACTTTCTATACCTGGTATGTTGTGCTTTCATATAAAAAAGCATTAATATAGTGCCTGAAAACAGTAAGATGAAAGTAAGCCTTAGCTAATAATACTACAAATATTTCAGAGAAACCAGAAAACTAACGACTCAGACCCATATATTCATTTTCAAGACAAGAAAAACAGGCACAGAGGTGACATAACTTGCATAAAGTCACATAATTTAGTTTAGTAGATTTATAAGGGACATTTCCTTAACACACATTTCCTATTTGCATATAAAGTATACAACTTAGAGATCTGTCTTTTGCTTCTCTAGGGAAAATATCATATTTTCATTTTTGGACAACATATTTTTAAGGAAATGTGAATCATTTAATCTATCAGATATATTTATAAAGCCATTCCCCCCTCCCCCCGCCAAGCTTTCTTTAAAAATTTGTAAGCACAGTGGTTTCTCTAGCCATAGAAAGGTGAACCCAAATTTAACAAATTCTCCAAGTGATCAGTTCTGTCATTCTTTTGTGCTGAGACATTTTTAGAGGTTGCTGATTGTGGAAGTTATTGAACACATTTTTCTCTTAGTATTTCAGTGCCATTTTTATATCCAGCTGTAAGATAGTTAAGCTTTGATGACCCAGGGAATTTCAATGTAGAAGCTTCTCATTGTCTGGAAGCCATCGAATTCCAAACAGAGTAAGTTATAACTTCCATAACTGAGAAACTAGTGACTTTGTGAGTAATGATTTCTATGTAGATTTGAAAGCATAATACACAGGATACTTTGACCAAGGAAAGACAGTACTTTGTGCTAAACATCAGTGTAATGGTAGCTTGTTGTTTGATTGACATGCTTTCCAACAATTTCTTTTACTACTGTGACAAGAAGAGAATGTCTCCCATTTTATAGATGGGACTACTCAAGGGACAATAGAGCACACACAAGGACTTCTAATAATTTGGTCATTGTGTAGAATTTAGGGAAACAATGATGAATCCAGATGTGCTCTCCACCCATAATGATCCGTCAGTCTAATGAGATGCACATAGGTACAGCGCTACAAATTAAGTGTCCAAATAGTTTTAAAACAAAACAGTTCAGGAGCCCAAAGAGGGGAAAATTGTCTTCCTGGTGATGGAGTCACATGAAGAATCTATGAAAGCTTGATGGTGATGATATATCTTCATTCTTACTTTGTATTGATGGTTACAGAAGGTAGATATAAACTGAAATATAATCACTTTCAATGATGGCCAAGATAACACAGGAAGTATTGTGATAAAGTTTTGGAAAAGTACATTAATCTAATTTAACTATCACAAGTAGTTATTAAACCTAAAATCACAATAAGAGATTTTCCACGGTTTTAAATGCCTTTTTATTTTGTGTTTGTATTTTTGATGCATTTTATAGCTGTTTCTCTTAGTTTTTGGGAAAAAAACTGACCATATTTTAAATGTGCTTGAGTGAGTACATATGAGCAGACGTGATGATATTAGTATGAAAATTGAAAAACAGCTTTTTCTAAAGCTTGACTTTGAAGAAAAAATTATGATCTTGGAAGAAATAAATGCATGTACGCTTTGCATTTTTAAAAGATGCTCTACCTAATTTATATGTAGAAAATATAGAAACACACTTCAAGTTTTGAGGTTATACATTTTAACTTATATTTTATTTTATAGTTATGATTTTGGATGACAACATGCAAAAACTGAAGGCTCGATGTCTAGGAAATATTGTGGTAAAGTAAGCAAAATTTTCGGTACTACTATAAAAAGATCAAAAGTTGGTGGGTTAAGGAAAAAAAATGGAATGATTACATAGCACAAGTGAAGAGTGTCCAGAATGAGTGTATGCACTGCTGAAGTATACTGTTAACTGTTCATTTAAACCTGGGTCTATTCCTTAGAATTGATTTCCTGATTGAACAAGTTATTTAAAAAAACTTACTTACCAAAAATATAAAGAAGGAAATAGTTTCTGTACTTCCATTCCTGTAAAAACATACCCTTGATTGTGTAGCATGTAGTTGTGATACAAAATGATGTTTTAGTCTATGGGGGAGTAGGGGAACAGGGACAAGATGGTCTTCCCATAGATTATGGTAAAGTGGAGAAATTCCTCTCCCCTAGATACATGCCTGTATTGCCACAAAACTTTCAGAGTTTATGGTCACAGTATTGGGAACAAACCTACTCCACCATCAGTCATATAAAAGTGAGTCATAAATAAATATGTATGGTATGTAATAGTTTAGGTGATCATGAATGACTAAGTCACTAGTTCATGAAGTTAAAACGGTATACATTTTATCATTATTTATTGTTACTTGCACAGAAGCATTTATTGTAAAATACCATGGTGTTTAATGCTTGCAGGAATCTATTCATTGCATTTCATCATCTACGTGGAATAATTAACCTATACCATTTAGGTTTAGGTAAACATGCTTAATGCTGTGCTCATGCAATATTAAGAACCATCTAAAGACATGTTTCTCAGAATACATCCTACCATTGAACAATATCTGAATGAATATGCCTGTCCATATTTTGACATTTTATAGATCTGAAGCAATTAAATTTGGGATTTGCTGTCTTTCTTCAATTCTGCCTTAGAATTATGTTTAATCTTTAAACTGTCTTCTAATTTTTCTTAAATCTCCACTTTGAGCCGCTTAGGCCTTTAGGGACCTCTACTATTATAAATAACCTTGTACCAAATATTTCTTTGGTTTTATCTTTTCTCTTTTTTTCTGGATCAAATGATAGAATATTGTTAAATTCTAGGCTCACCAAATACAATTTCTTGTTAACATGTTTTGTCTTTGTTCATTTGATAAACAAAGAGGCTGAAATTTGAAGTGAGATTTTATGTTTACTTTGATTAGATCAAATGTTAAAATTGTTGTGCTGGTGGAAAACCAGTTAAATTTAGAGACACATAATCTGTGTTGTTTAAATAATCGATACAGATTCCTTCAGTGCTGTTGATTATCTTCGTAGAATTTTTCCATTTTTGTTTAAGTAGAATCCTCCAGAATGCAGTCATGAGTACAGAACATTTTATGTCAGGTTTTTAGAAATTTGTTTTCTCATTTATTGCTGTTAGAATTCAAAGGAATTCTTACAAGTTAGTATCCATGGACAACTATTAGATTACCTCTATTTAATAAACTGTCTTAAATTCTATAAATGTACATGAAAAACTGAAGTAGAAAGTATATTTCTTCAAATAGAAATATTTTCATTTATAAAATATTGGTATAAGAGATAAAGATGATGGTACATTTATTTTTCTGTGCCATATATGATAGTAGTGAGTATGTGAGCATTATATTACTCTTTCAGGGGACAACATATCCAAAAGGATAGAAAAATGCTAAATATTGTCTATTCCATTTTTCAGCAAAATGACTCTGAATTATATCCATTATTACAAAACTACCAAAGGGAGGTGATGGGTTTGCTAAAGAATATATGAAAATGATTGTAGGCCGTGGATGTTTAATTTTTTAGAGAAGAAGCAAATGTTTTTCAAAAGCTTTTAAAAGTACCCCAGCCACAGAAGTTTTTATATAACCGAACTCTGTGAGTCATCTTTTCATGAGGCAAGTCCTCTAAGATCGCAGAGGTGGCATTTGATGCCAGCATAGTTTTAAACCCCTCATGGGTTCTGTCAGTCTAATTATGGGTGGCTTTGCCCTACATCCATTCAGAGATAATAGAATACAGTAGTATCCCAAATAAACTATAATTTTTCCTATGGCCTTTAGTGTTATTTCAAGTCATTGAAAATAACACCACTCCTGTCTTAAAGAATTTCACACTTTAGGCTGTGGCCATTTCAGAATGCTTTTGTTCCTTTTTATTTCTAAGCAGATGCTTTTTATTGTATATTTTCAGCCCTCTGAGATTTCATTATGAATTATGAGGCTATGATATTCATCCACATGCAGTAGAATTTGATTCCTACTTTTGGTAAATAGTTAAAGCTCCATATTTTAAAAGAATATACATTATATCTAGCATTAGAAAGGTATATCTAGTTATATGTAGTTATTAGGAATACTATAGTTATTAGAAAGGTAAGATCAAAATAAATCTGAACAAAAAAATGGCTACCACTGGGATCTCTCTTTTCCTTTTTTCTCTAATAAAGCAGCTCTATTTTTTTGTTTGGTTTGGTTGTATTTTGTTTTACCTACTACAGGAAGGATTTCCTTCTGAAACTTATATGGCCAGTAGCAATTCTACTCTACCTCATCAATCTAAAACTTTTTCATGCATCCCAATAGCTGCTGGCAGTATGTGTAGGATGTTTCCTTATTTACATCTCTTGGTATGACTTGTTCACATTGGTTCCTATTTAGATATAGTGACCTACAGAAAAATCAAACATGAATCTGAAACCTCTCAATCAACTACTTAACTTTTCCACTTGCTTTCTTACAGCATTCTGGATATTATTTTCTTTTTCTCTTCAAGGGACACCCATCACTAGAGAAAAGACATTTTATTGATTCTTAAACAACCATTGGCCCTGGAGGGGGTAATAAATAAGAGCCATGCAGTTTTAGCATCTTATCTGATTGCTTGCCTTCACAGACCTTACCTTTCTCTTAGAAATGAAAACATCATGTCCACATGGATGTTAGAAAATTCTTTTGTTTTGTTTTTTTTTTTAAAAATCTACTCCAGGCAGTTAATTTAGTGGGAAGTTATGGTGTCTGAGTTGCTATGAATACCAAATGCTCATGAATTTTAGAAGGTGCTCCTGTAATTGCATCCAGAGATCCAAAGTGCAGAAATAAAACTATGAGTCAGTAATTTCCAGGCAACAGAAAGCTAGGCATGAGAGAAAAAAAAATTCAACTGCAATTGCCTTCCTCTCTACCACAGTGCTCCCTGTTATTAAAGCCATAGGTCTCTAGCTCTTCTTTTCTGAGGGGCATATATTTTTCTGACCAGATTCATTGTTGCTATTGGAAGTGCAACTTGTTCTTCCCCTGCTGTGTTCTGCTGACCTGTGCCCCCCAGGCGAGCTCTGTGGAACTGTCCAAGTGTTTTTTCCTTCCCTGCTTGCCAATGCCAATGTCTGTTCACATGCTCACAGCTTCACAAGTAGAGATTTCCTCACTGTGCTGACTATCCTTTGAGCAAAACCAAGCCTGTCACATAATTGTAATCTTACTCCATTCTAAACCTCATAAGAAGAGTTTTTATAGTCTCTTTTTAACCTTAGACCAGTACTATTATAAGGTAGGCAAAGAGACATATATGGTCCCTGCTTTAGGTGCAAGAAACTAAGCAATCATTAAGGATTCTCAAGCTAGAAAATACATAGAGGTATGATGTTTTGTCTACCCAGGGAGAAAGAAATTATGGCTTAAGCAGTTTCTTCCTGGATATAAAAAGTAAGTTCATATGAAATCCTGGAGGAAATACCAAAAATTTAATGTTAAGCTTAAATTCCAGAATTATCTTGGGGATAGGAACTATGTCTTCAATTTATTTCTGAAATCAGGTAGACAATGAATACAGATCATCCTTTATCTCAGATAAAAGGCACTTAAGAGTTTTTATAATGTTGGGGATATATTAATGCAGGGAGACAGAGAAAGAGAAAGAGAGACTATTCTTAATATTCTGAGTAGGCAATATGTTGATGCTTGTAGATGCTTGGAGAGAAAAATACAAGAGAAATATATGTTTAATAATATGCTCTTTGATATGCATGGTTCTCTCAGCGTGGGTGATATTATGTGTTTAAGTAGTCCCACCTCCTACTGCTCTCTAGTTCTCTAATTCCAGCATGAATGTCAGTTACCATTAGTTATTACAGTTACATTTTATTTTCCCTGGAGTAGTAGAAAGATATTTTCTAAAGATATTTTAGAAAGATATTTTCTAAAACGCATATATCTGTTTGAAAATGCTAACAGGAAAAACATGCAAAACTATCTATATTCCTCTTCCTGGAAGCATTTGAACATTATCTTATTTAATGTGCTTCTCTGCCAGATATGTTTCTGTTTGTCCTGTAGATAATCTGCCTCCTTCATTCCTGCTATCTCTCTATCTGTGTTTTCCCTTATGGATGTTTGATTTTCCACTTCTTCGTGTCTACTTCTTTACCTTTAACATCCTGAAACTTCCAATGAATTTATTTTTATTAGTTGTCCTAGTCACATTTTATTTGATAGTGAAGGATGCTGAATAATTTCAATGCTTCTCTTTATTTTCTTTTTGCAAAATATCAGCAAGCTGATTTCAAACAAATTGGTGGCATACAATTATTTATATAGTCATTGGAAAAGATTACCATAATAGAGAAAAGAACCTGAGAGGATGATCCACATGAGATCACTTTTTCAAACAGATTTGATGAACAATGATGGTAGTAGCAGCTACAGCAATAGCAAGCTTGTAGCATTTGTTTTTGCTGTTGTTTGTTTTTACAGATTACAAAATGCCTTCATGAATATGCATTGCATACAGTTATATGCAGTTCAGAAAGGCTGATGGATCTTGTTTACTCTGTCTCAAAAGACAAAAGCAGAGATAAAGGATCTAGCAAGGGTATATAAAGCAACTTGCTAGGATTACTAGGCTGAAACCTATGGGGAGTAGCCACAAAGGCACTGGAAGCATGTTCTGTTGGACAGATGTGAGAGCAGAGTTTGGTGAGGTGGTCATCTGACCATCTTGTTTCCCCTCTCACCCTCTCAGAACAAAAGACCTTGTTTTCAAGGAGGACACATGTGATTCTATGACAGAGGGCAATAATCATTTCTGTGCCATGTCCACTTGTCTCAGCATCAAAACTCTAAAGTCACCACTGCACGGAATCCTTTTTTTCGAATGACTATGGAAGGTTTTTTTTTTAATCCTCAAGCTTTATAGTACATCTATTTCCAAACTATGAGCCAGCTGTAGTAGTTCTCATTTGAAATCCCAGATTTTGAGAGGCTGAGGCAGAAGGATCCACAAGGTCCAAGACATCGTGGAAGAGAAAGAGTGTTTCAAAACAAACAAACAAAAATAAATAAATAAATAAGACAAATTACACATTATCTAAAAATTTTCTATATCTAGAAGACAATCTTTGTTACTATGTATTTCCTATAGGAGAATCAAGGTGAGAATTCATTAATTTGTTTAAATAAATCTAAATATAAGGTAGATTGGTGATATAAAGCTCTAGCTATACAGAAGAAAGCTATGCAGAAAGAAGGAAGTATATGAGAAAACTGGTTCCAATATGTGTGTGTATCTGTGTGTGTGTGTGTGTGTGTGTGTGTGCAAGTGTGTGGTGGGACACACCTAGAATTCTAGCTAGGCACAAGAAAGAGTAGGAGAATCAGGGTCCAAGCCTTGCCCAGGAAAGACATTCTATTAAAAAAAAATAAATGTACGCAGAAAAACTGAAGATGTGGCAGAAGTGGTAGATATCATTTAAGCTATAGTATTAGAGAAAATGGTGGGGGGGAGAGAGAGAGAGAGAGAGAAAGAGAGAGAGAGAGAAAGAAAGGAAGAAAGGAAGGAAGAAAGAAAGAAAGAAAGAAAGAAAGAAAGAAAGAAAGAAAGAAAGAAAGAAAGAAGGAAGGAAGGAAGGAAGGAAGGAAGGAAGGAAAGAGAAAGAAAGAAAGAAAGAAAAAGAGAAAAAGAGGAGAGGAGAGAGGAGAGGGAAGAGATGAGAAGAGAAGAGAGGAGGGGAAGGGAGGAGAAGGAAGGGGAGAGAAGAAGGGAGGAGATCAGAGGAGAGGAGAAGACAGGAGAGGAGAGGAGAGCAAAGGAGAGGAGATATTGTACCTTATACTCTATATGCTCAAAGTTTCTGCGTATTGACAAGAATGAGAAAATACACAATGAAAAAGTCAGATTGCTCAGTGTCACATAAACAGAAAAAGCAGGAAGTGGCGCTCTGGCTCAAGTGGCAGAGTGCTAGCCTTGAGCAAAAGAAGCTCAGGGACAGTGCCCAGGCTTTGAGTTCAAGCCTCAGGATTGGCAAAAAAAAAGTTCCAGAGCTGAGAAAATTCTCCAGGAAGGGAGGCACATTGATCATGAGGATCGCATTGTACTTGGGAGGCATAATTAGAAGAATTCCATGACACAAACAGGCAAAACAGGCAAAGGTGACAGTTGGTACTTTTGAAAATGAATTTATTTTCCTCAGATGGAAGTAATTCTCTTAAAAGTAATGTACTGATACATTTTGTTCAGTTTTAAAACTGTTCTGCTTCTTATTGAAATAGTGGTGATTGTCAGTACTTCAGTGCCATATGTGTTTGCTTCCTATGCACTTGTCCAAAACTACGGTTGTTCTTTAGTAACTAACTATGCTTTGATGTGGACAAATTCTTCAGTCTCCGTTTGATATGGTGGGTCCCGCATATTTCAATTAGGGATTTCAATTGTAATTACCCTTCATGGTGAAAAATAATGATTGCAATCAGCCTTCTTTAAGATTATTTTCCTAGTAATTTTAACTGCTCTGTTGTTTTGTATAAGGTTGCCTTTGCCACCTGGAGCCTTTTCAGGACTCTGGAAGAATCAGGAAGCATTCAAGCATTTATACTTTGAAAAATTTCCTGTAAGAACTTTTCATATATTTTTCAATCTTTTCAGATACTTCTCTATATTTTCACCTACCCAATTGATCAACTTGATTCTAGAATTATAGATCAATAGCGACTTTTAAAAGATTGTCTGGACAAATTTCCAGCTCTTAAGGAGAAGAATGACCAAATCACAATTTTCTTAGTAAGTCATTTTTGAAAGGGTTATCAGTCTCTGAACACAGAAATCATTGTTTCTCTTATCATTTCTCCTAAGCTTTCATGAAACCAGGAATTAAATACATATTTTTATTATCCTTAAGTAGTCATACAAAGGAGTTGTCATTTAACAAAGCATTTTATGAATACAATGCATCCTGATCAATGTCACTCCTTTTAATCTTCTCATACATTCCTCCAAACACCCCTCCCTCACTTTTCCTAATTTTGTAAGATATAGATTGAATTATTGGCTGCATTCTTCTCTGCCTCTTTCCCCATAGCCCTACATCACACCTTTCAAATACCCATTTCCTGGTGTTCATTTTTTTGAACTTTGACTTTATCTTTCTAAGGAATTTTGGGTTTTCACTCGAATCTACCATATTTCCACTAATAATTTACATACACTTAAATACTTCCTAATGTATTTATTTATTAGTTATAAACTAATTCTTGCATCCATCTATAGGGGAAAACATGCAACCATTGTTTCTCCGGGCCTGACTTACTTCACTTTACATAAATTTTCCAGGTCTTTCCATTTCTTTACAAATCGTACAATATTATTTTTTCTAACAGATGATCAAAATTCCATTTTGTATATATACTACATTTTCTTGATTCACCCATTAATGGACATCTGGGCCTGATTCTATACCTTGGTTATAGCAATTTTTTTTTGTTATCAAAAAACCTTTTTGACTTTCCATATTATTTCTTCCACTAGATTCCTCTTTATAGACTAAAAACAACTCGTCTGAACTCTATGATGTCATTAGTCTATAGGCTGCTACACCAGCAATCCCATTCCATTTGTCAGGAAGATGTATGTTCTGCTGGTGCTGGTGTCTCACACCTGTAATCCTAGTTACTCTGGAGGCTGAGATCTGAGGATTGTGGTTTGAAACCAGCCTGGTCAAGAATGTCTGTGAGATATTTATCTCCAATAAACTACTCAGATAAAGCCAGAAGTGGTGCTGTGTCCCGACTGGTAGAACACAAGCCTTGAACATAGGAAGGCTCAGGGACAGAGTACATGTCCTGAATTCAAGCCCCAGGACTGGCACAAAAATAAATCAAACAAAATCAACAAACAAATGAACGAATAAATAAACAATTGAATAAATGTTTACAGAGCATATTTTCAAAGCCCAGTCTTCTCCCCAGTAGTCTGCATAACAAACATTGTCCTTCTCCTCCCTAGTTTGTCATTTTTCTGCTGTCCCTTATCAAGACGAAATGTCCTCTGCTTGTAACAGCATTTCATTGGTAACACAGGATAGAATCAGACCATTATCTCTCTGCTAAAGTTTTCCTTCTCTTTTTTCCCTGAGAGTTACATATCCTGCCCTAATTATGCATGAGGTGACCAGGTATGAATGATTAGAATTTCATAAAAAAACAGTGAGTCCAAGTACTTAGTATTCTATCTTGATTACTTGTGAGTAAAAGACAGATAGACTAATCAACTGGATAAATGACAAGGGTTAAAAATAGTTTCCTTTGGAATGAGAATCTCAGAGTTGAATGACCTCAATAGCCAAGATTAAACATGACCCTGATGGACTGTGGCAGAAAGATTTGTCAGTCTAGTTGACTGCAGCCAGCCCAGTCTATCTACCTGAAGGACAACAGTGAAATTTTCAGGTACTGATAATGATTCATTATAACCTGATAACAATAAATAATGTGCATGGGGCTTTAGCTTGAATATGTTTAACATTGAAACCTCCCTCAAAACTCCAAGATATGACTAAACTACATGAAGTGACTACAGTGCACTTTGTTATTTGACCCTGATCCTCTTATTTGAGGGCTTAATAAAAAGCAGGAAAGTGTTGATTGACTTACCCTAGAGTTCACACAGGTTAGACAGGTTGGGGCTGTTCCAATATAGTTTGGCTTCAGAGTTCAAACTCTTAATGCTAGACTAGGTGGCCAGTCTAACAGTAATAACAGTAGTATTGCAATAACAGTGACAATTCTCAAGGGTTCATGATGTGTCTGTGCCTTCTACTGTATACACACTATTTCATATAGACCTCATAAGAGTCTGTAAGACAAGGTCTTGAGCTCTTTTGGTATATGAGCACAATGATTCTCAGAATGAATGAACTTGCCACTTCAACAGGTTTGCAGCAAACATGTTTGTAGTGTCGACATCAAAATAGCTACAAAACATTAGGGAAGACAACATATTTTTCTTTCACACCTTGATTATTCTTCATTCTGTTGTTGATTTCTACATAAGCAAAGATGTGCTACTGTGTGCTGGTTAAAAATTAAATAAAGAATTAAATGCTACTACATTTCACTGATTCGTAAATTAAATCTCAATCCATGTTAAAAGAAACAAGTGATCTATGCGTAATTATTCATAGGGATCTTTAAAGCTTTGAAAATTAATACAATTAGAGAAGAACTTTATTGAAAAGTTACTTTGCAATACCAAAGTGAATTGGAAATATTAAACTACTACTTCTCCATTTAAAAAAAGTAATTGAGTTCATAAACTTTGCAACTCAAAGTTCAGACTCTTAAGTTGAAAATCTATAAGAATAGTTTAACTTACTTTGACTCTTAGGAGCAAAGGGATTCTAGTATTTTTTTTTCCTTTTTTTTTTTTTAATTTAATTTTATTTTATTTGAGAACATACTGTACAGAGGGGTTACAATTACATGGGCAGGATAATGCATACATTTCTTACCAAGCATTGCAGCCTCCTCCTTTGTTTACCCTTCACCTCCCTTCCCAGCCTCCCCCCTCCCCCCCACCCAATCCTTCCCCCCCTCCCCCCCCCCCACACACCGACATTGTAAAGCTCGTTTTTGACATGACATTTTGTACTTCTCATTGTTGCAACAGGTCCACCTGAATCCTTAAACAACTTGTTTGTCCCCATCTCCTCCACAATCTAGTATGTTTTTAAAATCAGAAGTTATTTTACTTTCATAGCATCCTTGTGCAAAATTCAACATACAGTCTGAACCCATTTCTGTCACATTTTATATTTTGCCAAATTTAAATAATTAGATTACTTAACAGTTCATGTGAACTAAACACCATTTATTCTTATTTTCAGGGCTACTACGATACCATGGACGCTGGTTACATGGATGAAGAAGGTTACCTCTATGTTATGTCTCGTATGGATGATGTAATAAATGTTGCAGGTCACAGGATTTCTGCAGGGGCAATTGAAGAGGTTAATATGGATTAATTGATTAGTATTGTTGTTCTTCTCTAAGTAGTGTCGAGAAAGAATGCTGAGTGGAAGAAACACGAAGGTTAAATCATTAAAACTGGAAAGTCAATGCCTTCTTCATTTAAGGCAGGGCTAGATTACTGATATCCCTCTCACCTCACTTTTTTTTGCGTAGATTGATTTTGAATCTTCATCTTCCTCACACATGCCCCTCTTCCTGCCTGTGTAGTCTTTTTAAGCACTTACATGTATTTCTTTTTTATGGAAGACCTTTTGTGTGCGTTTGCTTTGCATTATTTGATTTTTTAGCTTTGTGTGTGTGTGAGGGGGGGAGTGAGGGAGAGAGAGGGAGGGAGAGAGAGGGAGGGAGGGAGAGGAAGGGGGAGAATTAAGGCTTGAACTCTAGACATTGAACTTGCAATTGACTTTTTCACTGATTGCTAGTGCTCTCCCATTTCAACCATGATTCTACTTCCAGCTATTCACATTAATTGGAGATAAGTCTTGAGGCTGTATGTGAATAAGCTGGCTTTGAATTGCACTTCTCAGATTGTACTGTAGCTAGGATCATAAGCATGTGATACCTGCACCTGTCTAACTACTTGATTTCCTGCTGCTTGAGTTTTGCATATACTCTAAGTTATGTGGTATTTAAACTGTTTATTATACTCTTAAATCCTGAGAATTTTATTCTAATGTTAGTTATAAGGAGTCTCCCCCACCAAAATCATTTATTTTTAATGTTTTAAATTTGTATTATATATTCATTTTATTATATTTTTATAATGCACTTTATAGTTGTACAAATACATGAGTTTTGTATTTCTATACATGCTTGTAACCATTACCACAGACAAGATGCAGAACAAATTTCAACATTCCCAAAGAGCTCTTCATAACTTCTAGCCATCCAACATTCTAATGTAGAATGTCATATGGATGGGATAAATAATTCAATATTATAATGTTTTGAGTTTGAATTATTTTATTTAAGTTCCATACAAACTATGTGTATCAAAATTTGCCCTTAACAATTGTGTGGCTATCCTAATGAGCTCATGAGTTGATACTAGTTTGGGCATTTATAAATAAAGATTCGTGTGTGTGTGTGTGTGTGTGTGTGTGAGTGTGTGTGTGTGTGTGTGTGAGAGAGAGAGAGAGAGAGAGAGAGAGAGAGAGAGAGAGAGAGAATAGCTTTTCATCCTTTTAGGCTAAATATTTGCAGTGTATTTGTGTTTGTCTAGTTAAATAGTAAGTGTATGTTTAAATTCATGAGAAACCGGGGATTAGAGAGGTATGTGCCATCACATCTATCTTCATAGTTGTTAAGATGACGTCTCCACAATGTTCTTCCTGGACTGGTCTTGAGTCATTGTCCTTCCAATCCTCAACTTCTGACTAGACAGAATTACAGATATGGATCTCTTTGCTCAGTCTGTAACTTCTGTTTTAATTTACATAAGGGCTCATTACAGCTAAGTTTCCTTGTAATCTCAAAGAGAACTCAATTTGGAGAGCAATGCTACAGCTGGCAACACTTTGAGGACACTGAAAGATGACCTGAATGCATATAGCATTATGAACAGAACATGAGCTGTAGTTTGTTTATAGTTTGTTCAAAAAAAAAGAAGCATTAAAGGCTTGGGCCCCTGCTATATATATAGCAATATTGGGAAGTGGTAGAGGTAGTGCCTAGTGAAAGGTCATAGGTCATCTTTTTTTTTTTTTTTTTTTTTGGCAAGTCCTGGAACTCGGGCCTGGGCACTGTCCCTGAGCTTCTTTTGCACAAAGCTAGCACTCTAGCCCTTGAGTCACAGTGTACCTTTTGGCTTTTTCTGTGATTAATTGGAGATTAGCATCTCTCAGACTTTCCTGCTTGGGCTGGCTTCAAACTACATTCCTCAGATCTCAACCTCTTTAGTTGCCAGGAATACAGATGTAAGACATCAGTGTCCGGCAGGTAGCATACTCTTGAAGGGTAAACTGTGGCCCATAATAAGATCTTCCCCTTTTAAAAGTTAATTTTATGGTAATTTGTTACATAATGGGGAGCTGAGTAATAAGGCTTTGGGAGAAAGTAACATGTACTGTTCAAATAAGATAAGCTAAGCAGAGACAGAAATTCTTAAAAGAAGAGCCCAAAGAAAGTGCTAAGAACAAAACCAAAAACACTGTATCAGAAATGTAGAATGCATTTGATGGGCTCATTCACAGACTGGACTTGGCTGAAGAAAACAATTTCTACTGTTGAAGATCTCTCCTGTGTTCCTCTGTTTGTGTAGTATGGGGGCGCTTAGTATGTTCCCCAAATGTAAAAAGAAATGTTGGGTTAAATGTTGGGTTTTATTGTTGTTGTTGTTGTTTTAACTTGTGATGTATTTGTTGTCTGTGATGAGGTATATGGCTGGGATGACAGATGACTTTTAAGCTGTTCAAAACCCAACCTACCAGCTTCTGCCGACTCCCAGCATGCTCCCTTTATAGATCTGCTGAGTAGGGGTGGAGGCTCACTCTCTCTGGCTCTGTGCCCAGAGCTCACTCCTACCGCATGGCTGGAGAGGACATGATCCTGCTTCCTATGAAGCAGGGCAGGTGAGCTGATCCCTCCTGGAGATTGGAAAGGGCTCAGCAGTGCTGGCATTCACTTGGTTTGAAGTGTGGAAAGTCTACAGCTCTTGGACAGAAGGTGGCATCCATCCACAGGCTGGGTGAGATAAGGTTTGCTCCTCTCCAGAGACTTTATCAGGGCCTCTAGGGAAACAAAACAGGCTTACTTTTTCCTGTTTGTACTCACTATGGTTCCATATTTTACATTTCTGTAGCCCCCAAGCTAGGATACCTAGAAAACATATATATATATATATATATATATATATATATATATATATATATATACACATATATATTTATTTTATTTTATTTATTAATTTTTTGGTCGGTCGTGGGGCTTGAACTCTGGGCTTGGGCGCTGTCCCTGTGCTCTTCAGCTCAAGGTGAGTGCTCTACCGCTTGAGCCACAGCGCCACTTCTAGTTTTCTAGTGGTTTATTGGAGATAAGAGTCTTATGGACTTTCCTGCCTAGGCTGGCTTTGAACCGTAATCCTCAGGTCTCAGCCTCCTGAGTAGGTAAGATTACAGGCGTGACCACCGGTACCCGGCTAAACCTATATATATATATATATATATATATATTAAAAGGACAAAATACAAGCCTCCCATTTCCAAACTCATAAGGAGGTCTCTTGGGTTATCATAGTTTGACAGACTATTCTGATGTTTTAGTCAAGCATTTTTTGTATTGTGGCTAATAGAAGAGATAACATGGAACTGCCTACTCGATCTTACTTTTACTTGTTCTTCAGATGGTACTAGGGTCTGAATCAGGGCTGCATGCTTGCAAAGCTGGCAAGACAGGTCATCCCAGTCCTCTTTGCTTTACTTATTTTTCAAACAAGTTCTAGCCTTTTTGCGCTGCCTGGACTGGGCTATGACTTCCCTATTTACCCACTCTGCATAGCTGGGATGACAGGTATCCTCCACACACAGCATTTTATTAGTTGAGATAAGGATTAAGAGCCTCCTGTTCTTTACCTCCCAAATACCTGGAATAACAGGCAATGACCACTGCACCTGGCTTGGTTACTCCATCTTTTCTAGAACTGGGTTCCAGAATAGCTTTAACCTGAATGGGACAAACAAACTGCAATTGAATGAAAGGAAAGTTTAAAGTTTCATGATTCACAATTAAGTGGATCCAAGTAGACAGATTGGAAGATTAAGTTCCTCTTCCTCTAATTAACAAGTAGTCACCTTTAAAGGCCATGCATCTCATTAGACCAAAATGAAGAGCTTAACACTTCTTACTGTATTGCCTTTTTTCTCTGCTTTCCTTGCCTGCCTGCCTGCCTTCCTTCCTTCCTTCCTTCCTTCCTTCCTTCCTTCCTTCCTTCCTTCCTTCCTTCCTTCCTTCCTTCCTTCCTTCCTTCCTTCCTTCCTTCCTTCCTTCTTTCCTTCTTCCTTCCTCTCTGAGCAAAAAGAATAAAACTTCTAAAACTTGTTTTAAAATGTGTGACCTTTATTTGCTATTATAATATTATCTTATTTTGAAATGACTCTGTGTTTGGTGATAAGCTGAAATAGAAATTTATGCTTCATCTATTTTGGTGTGTTAGCAAAAGGTAGTTCTGGTTGCTTGAGTTTTTAATTTCTTGCTTCTAGAAGATTACCTCCAATATGCGCATTGCATACCTGGCATACTCAGCTAATCAAAATTTGAAGATTACATTTGCACAGCTCTTATTATCAGCCAAAATTCTTAGTTTTCTCTTCTTATTTTTAGAAGAGAAAGAGAACTGTCAAGCTACTCAAATACAGGTTACACTTTTATGCATTTCTACTGACAATATTCTCACTGTACGTGAGATAGTTAAAACAGGCTCAGGATAGGCAGCTAGTGGGAATTAGGGAAAATGTGCTAGTTACTGGCATTGAGACAGAAATGTTGCCATTGGGTCTTGGATTATTTCCAGCATATAGAAGGACATTTCTCAGGCCTTAGCTCTCTCTATACGAATCAAAATTTTGTAAGTGTTTCTAATTGCTTATATAACACAAGATAATTAATCCTAATTAATTAGTCTAGTTTTGTCTTCTTTGTATTTGGAATCTCTTACAGAGTTGACATCTTTCTTGGCTTTTTCCAGCTTCTCTGAAAATTACTTACAGAATTGATATTTAATATGTGCCTTGAATATTTATACTGATGCTATAACTAGCTCTTATTAAAATGTCCAAACCTCACCATTTGGTCTCCAGATTTCTCATTGGTGGATACTCAATTTCTTTAAAACTTTTTGAAATAGACTATGAGGATCTTACTTCTTTGAAAAACTTATTTGTAGGGAAACATTTAATTGGCTATTGTTTTTATATATAGTGTTTCTCTGTTTTCCTCAAGTAAAAATATTACAAGCGTTGTTACCCTATATAAAATTAAATTA